GGCCGACGAACTGGACCTAGGTGAGCGCAGTTGGACAACAGAAGGCAAGAGAGACAAAGGACAAAAAAGGAAGGGCGCGCAAGGGCAATAAGTGTGCGCTCACATGATCGTGGGGGAGGTGATGTTGGTGATGGAAGAAAGTGTTTCGCCGCAGGCTATCGGCACCCGAACCCTTCGAAACCACGCATGGCGCGGTGCGCGGTGACCCCCCGTATGAGGCTTGAGGTGTGGTGCCTGGTGTTTGAGATTGGCGTGTTGGTGCCTTGGGCATCTGCTCTGGCACATACCCGGAGCGCTTCATGCTCTGACGGCTCTCTGGCCGTCCGCGGTTCTCCCTCCCTTCCCTCACATCCCCCTTTTCCACCTCTATGCCCAAGCGCAAGTAGCTTGACCTCAACTTGGACCCACGGCGATGCCGACAAAAAAGTTGGTGCCTAGGGGGTGGTGCGTGGTGGTCGGTGCGCAGTGTTTGGTGTCTGGTGCTCGGAATAGGCTGCTCGGGGGTTGGGTTTTGCTGTGTGGGGTCTGGTGCTGGGTGTTTACGTTCTGGGGCGTGGTGTAACCCTAACCGGGAACGGAACAACATCCGATCGGGATCGGGCGACGCGGTCGTTGAACAGCGTTCCGAAACGCCGTGGATCGACTTATCGCGTTCATGGGCCCCTCTGACGAATGTTTGGGAGTTAGCGTGAAGAACCTCGCGGCTCGAGTTGGCACCAGATCCACCAGGACTGGTCCCAATCGGGCTGGATTGGGCTTAGTCGTGGTGATTGGCATCACCTGTCCGCGGCCCCCGCAGCCCGCAAGCGAGAGCCAGCGGCGCCAGCGAAGAATACAGGAAGGACGAGGAGGAAGGATTGAATTTAAACAAAAAACATGGGCCGACCACGCGGCGAACATGTACCGAAGAAGGTTAAAAAACGCTTGTGTGCCTCTTACGGTCGACATCCATGCTCACTTGGACATGTTCCAACAATTCCGCAAATCAAGCGGAGCACGTACCCTGGCGAAAAACCCTACCATGTTGCATATGGGTCCACGAAATGTGCGAGGGGTGTGCCAGATTGGACCCGAATAACCATGCGGACGCTGCCACTGGGGGGCCTTTGGTGGAGCTTCCTATGGGGCCACGAAGCCTGCGAAGGGTGTGCCAAAATGGACCAGAGTAACCATGCGAACGCAGCCATTGGGGCCTTCGGTGGAGATCCCCATGGGGCCGCGAAACGCGTGAGAGGCGCGCCAGAATGGACCCGGGCGACCACGCGGACGCAACCACTGGGGACGTTGTTTCATCATCCAACAGCAAGGTGCGAAGCGCGCCCCGATCTGCCCCCGCGGCCTGCAACGGGCGCCGAGCACATTCAGCGCAGCGCTGGAGGCGCGGCGAACGGCCGCCGCCTCGGCAGATCGCCCGGCGCAGGCTCACCAGGCGCCTGCGCGCAAGAAGGCTCAGAGAGAGACGAGCCTCACGCGCTGGCGTTGTCCGCTCACGGGAGCGGCCTTCCGCGCTAGGGGTTCTCTCCCCGCGTGAACTCGACGGCCTTGCGCCACCTGCACGCGCCGGCCTCCTCAGTCTCAGCGCGCGCGCAAGACGCCCCGAGGCCGCGGCACTCGCCCCTGCACTCCCCGCCCAACTGGCCGCGCCACGCGCGCGCCGCGCGACCCAAGACAGCGCGCAGCTGGCCCCCCCTTCGCCCCCACCAATGCATTTGCGCTCGTCTTCGACAAAACCGCGGGCGCCCAGCAGGCCGCCAGCGTCAGCCCTGCCCGCGTCGATCTTGGCCGATTCGTCAACCCCCCCCACTGGGGCCCCCGCTGCAGCTGGAGCCCCCCCTCCTGCACCGTCGCCTGCGCCTGGCGCGGCCGCGGGCTGCTGGACAGCAGGCCGCTGCTTTCGCGGGATGGCGGTCTGCTCCAGCTCGTTGACTGCCGCCTGGGGGCCCTTGGGGAAGTCGGCCAGCGCGGCGTTCTCTGCAGGAATCGCCGCGAGCTTCGCCCCAATCCGTTAGCCGCCGATGCCTCTCGCAGTGGCTTCGGACAGCTTGGCTGCCCCCTGCTTCGCCCTCCCCAGCTCCCCCCCCCGGCTTCGCGACCTCGCGCTCGCCGACCGCCGCCGCCGCCAGCGCCTTAAGAGCTTCTCCTCATTGCTCGCCATGCGGTCCTGGGCGCGCAGCAGGGGGCGCACCGCCCTGTCCGCAGCCCGAGAAGCTTCGCGCCCAGCAGCATCCAGAAATCAAGCGGAAGCAGCGCGACATTCCCCACTTTCGCCCGAGAAGAGTTGGACAGCTTGCGGGCGCGCTCCGAATAGCACCCAGCACGAAGGCGCCTCAGCCCGCGAGTCGCCCGGGCCCCTTTTGACCCTGCCCCCCATCTTGATCATCTCGTGTTTGGCGAGGGCGACGTTCTGGGTGGCTTTCGACTACCCCTTGTAACTGTCGGGCTCGCCTTCGAGCGCGCTGCGGCAGTTGGCCATCGGCGCCCTGCGGCCCGGGCCGCCCAGTTCGCCGAACTCATGAGGGATCGAGTTGGACGCCCTGCCCCGATGCGCGTGGACCGTCGCCAACGCGCGGTCCGACTCTGCTCGCGCCCGCTGCTGCCGCGCAGCTTGGCCGCCGCCATGGACTGCGCTGACCCGCCTGAACGAGTCGTCGCGGTCGGCCCCCCGCTGCTCCGCCAGCGGGCGGCGGGCCCGTCCGTGGGCGCGCGCCATCGCCCCTCGAAGCGCGATCGGCCCCGGCCCGCCGTCAAACCCAAAGCAGGCAGCCCTCTCCGCGAAGACAACAGGCCACTCGCCGCAGCGCACGACGCAGACGACGAGGTCGCAGAGCGCCTCGACGCCCCCGTCGCCCAGCGGCTCGCGCGGCCCGAAGAAAAAAAAGTCGCTACCGTGGCTTCTTGAAGCTGCCGGTGGCCTTCCTGGTCGCGCTGATCGCAGCCCCCCTGCCGCCGCCCTTCCCCACCTGAACCACGCGGCCCGCAACGCTGGTCGCGACGAGGCCGACGCCCTGGAGGTTGCCGATCGCGACGCGACGACGCTGATGCTCTCTAAGATCCTTGACCGTTCTGTCTGCGGGCTACTTGCCACGAAGGTCCCCAACGTTCTCGCCCTCTGCCGAGGGCCGTCGTTATGCGCGCCGTACTTGGCCCCGATGGCCACGCCCTTGCACCGCGCGGAACGCTCGGCAACCTGGCTGAACTCCCCAACCACTAAGATGGGCTCGCCAATCTGCTCGGCGTAGGGATAGCCCGCCTGCAGCACCACGCGGTCGAAGTCTGACAGGCCCTCGCTGGCCGCCGTTGCCGAGTGCTGGCTCGCGACTCCGCCCTCCGAAAGGTAGGTCATACAAGTGACCGCGGCCCGTCTTCCCCCGCCGCGGGACCTTGACCAAGGCCCCCCTTCTGGAAAAGGTCCTGGACCACGAACATCCACGCCGAAGCTTGACCCCTCTGCGTCGGCGCGGAGCTGGCCGCCGCCCGTTCGCCCCCATCCCCTGCACTGGCGGAACCGTTCGGCCCGAGTTCCAGAGCTGGCTGCGCGCCGCCAGCACCGCCAGGCAGGCCACGCACTTCCTTCTGGCCCTCGACAGGGGCCATGTCGGGCGTCCGACTCAGCTAGCCGTCGAGCGAGCCGACCAGGGGCAGGGACCCCCCGCGACCTGGCTTGCCGCGCCACCATGCGCGGGCGCAGGTCTCTATCGCCAGCTGCTCGCGGCGAAGCCTGTCGACGCTCTGACCCAGTCGATGCGCTCGCGCTGGAACCTCTCAGCCGCGCGTGGCTTGCGCCAATGGCCCCGCGCGTTCTCGGCGCCAGGCCCCTCGCCGAGCCCGAAGTTCGGGAGCGGCCAAGAAGGGGTTGTCCAAGAGGGGGGGGGGGGGGGGAAATCATGACCGGCGGCACGCGCGCGGCCCAGCGGGGGGGCCTGGGACGTAATAAAATAAGAAGAGGCGCTATGAAATCTGAAGAAAAATCATGGCCCGCGCCGTGAAATCCACCCCCCCCTAGTCATCACCCCCTTCTTTCCCGCCCCCGAGAAGTCTTCCTGCTCGACTTGGGGGCCCGGGCCCCTGCCGGCCTGCGCGAGCCCAATGTTGAACCTGGCGACGCCGCCCGGCGCGAAACCCGCTCTGTGGGCCACGGCGACGCGACAGGGAGCGAGCTAGCTCGAGCCCGATCTGAATCTCGGGCGCTCCGAACCCTCGCGCTCGCGGCCCCCGCTGGCTCCGCCAGTTTGTCGGTCACCTCGCCGTCCGTGGTCGGCGTGCAGCGCGCCTTCTGTGCTGCCATCGCATGACTGTCGCGCGCCGCGCCGTGCTGAAGCGGCGCCTCGACCATGCTGCACTCGCTGACGCCGATAGCATGGGCCGACCACCTTCGGCGCCTCCTTGCACGATGCTCCGTCTGCCTTAGCCAGATTGGCTGCGCGCAGAGTCTCGATGGCGCGAGCAATGCGTTTGCGCAGGTCCTCGACGTCCCCGCGGGCTCCCAGTAGGCCGCCAGGGCCAATCAAGCCCATGAAGGCGTCGAACATGGCCGCCTCGTCATTCTAAGCTGGCACCAGTACCTCCGCTGCTGCTGGAGCCTCCCCCCCCCATGTGCCCCAGCATGCGCCTTGCGCGACAGCGGGCTGCTGGGCTGCTGGGCGACTGCTCTGGCTCGTTGACTGCGGCTGAAAAGCCCTTGAGGAAGTCGGCCGCGACGCGTCCTGGGCGGGAATCGCCGCGAGCCCGGTCTTGAGCTGTTTGACATCGATCCCGCCCGCAGTGGCGCCGTAGAGCTTGGCGGCCTCCTGCGTTGCGTGCTCCAGCTCCTTCGCCAGCCTCGCAACTTCGCTCCCTGTGCCCACCACCGCCGCCAGCGCCTTGGGAGCCTTTTCCGTATTGCTCACCAGGCGGTCCTTGGCGTTCTGGAGCGAGCGGGCCGCCTCACCCACCGAATGAGCACCGTCGCGCCCAGCAGCGCCCAACACACCAGCAGCAGCAGCGCGCCTAGCAATTTCCACCTTGGCCCGAAAAAGAAATTACACTGGACGTCCATGGCACTCTCGAACACATCGCTGGAGAGTACCCCCACGCCTGAACCTCGCGGGGGCTGAGCGTGGCACCCGAGGGAGGCTGCGGCTGCTGCTCTCCGAACGCGACCTAAGCTTCCGCTGCTCTTGGTGCCACTGCTTGCTCCACTTGTTGCCGCCGACCCAGAATACGGCGCCTGTCGGCGAGCCTGTGCTCCACGGTTTACGTGGCTCCCGCGCTGCCCCGCAGTCGCTGCACGTCCAACGGCCCTTGGTGTTGAACACCCCGCAACTGCATTTCCAGTACTCAGCCATGGCGAAGCGCACAGGACGACCACAACTTGCACCACCAGAAAGCGAGGGCACCAGCTTCACGCACGCTGGTGAGAAGCAACGAGAATCCTGATGGCGAGCCGCAGACTAGCAGCATTCACTTGGCTCACCTGAAGAATTTGCAACTACGGACAGCCCGTGAAGCCTTCGGTGGGGCTTCTTACGGGGCCAAGAAACATCTGAAGGAGGTGCCGAAATAGACCCGAGTAGCCATGCGGACCCAGACATTGGGGCCTTCAGTGTAGCTCCCTACGCGGCCAAGGGGGCCACGAAGCGTGTGAAAAGTGCGCCAGGATGTACACGAATAGCCGCTCCCAATGGGGCCACGAAGCGTGCCAGTGGTTTGCCGAAGTGGACCAGGGCCACCATGCGGACGCAGCCTGAGCATCCTTGTGGCCACGAGACGTGTGAGCGGCGTGCCGAAATGATCCCGAGTCAGCGTGTGAACGCAGCCACTGGGGCCTTCGGTAGAACTCCCATATGGGGCCACGAAACGTGTGAAGGGTGTGCAAGGATGGGCACGAGTCACCATGCGGACCCTACCATTGGGGTATTCAGTGGAGCTCCCTGTGGGATCACGAGACGTGTGAGTGGCGTGCCGAAGTGGACCGAGGTAACCATGCGGACGCAGCCACTGGGGCATTCGGCGGAAACCCAGATGGGGCCACGAAACGTCTGAGTGGCGTGCTGGAATGGACCCGAGTGATCATTCAGACCCAGCCACTGGGGCCTTCGGTGGAGCACCTTATGGGGCCACGAAGCGTGCGCGGGGTGTGCCAGAATAGACCCGAGTAAACATGCGGACGCTACCGCTGGGGCATTCGGAGGAGCGCCCTCTGGGGCCACGAAACGTGCGAGGCGTCTGCCGAAACGGACCCAAGGAACCACCTGAACCGGGCCACTGGGGCCTTCGGTGGAGCTCCCTGTGGGGCCACGAAACGTGTGAAGGGTCTGCTGGAACGAACCCAAGTCATCATGTGAACCCAGCCACTGGGGCCTTCAGTGGAGCTCCCTATGGAGCCAAGAAACGTGTGAGGGATCTGCCGAGAGGGACCCGAGTCACCATGCGGATCCATTCAGTGGGGACTTCGGTAAAACTCCATATGTGGCCACGACGCGAGCGAGGAGTGTGCCAGAATGGACCCGAGTCATGCGGACGCTACCACTGGGGCCTTCGATTGAGCTCCCGATGGGGCCACGACACGTGTGAGGGGTATGCCAGAATCGACCCGAGTAACCATGCGGACGCAGCCACTGGGGCCTGCGGTGGAGCTCACTTGGGGGGCCACGAATCGTGTGAGTGACGTGTAGAAGTGGACGAAATATTGAGTGCAGGAGGAGTGGGAGGAGGAAGGAGGAAAACGACGCACGGCGCTGCGATTTCACAACGAGGAACATACAAAGGGGTCGGGAATGGAGCACCAGCACAAGCCCAGATTCCGATCCAAGCGCCGCGACCTCGAGAATCGCCTAAGCAACGCTCGAATGTCCCGCAGAGGCGAGGGTGGGAACCGCAAATGTGTCTGAGATGCAAGCGCCAGCATCACTCGGAAACTGCGCTGGGATGCCGAGTGCCGTCAAAAGCCTCCACCCAACCGCGACTAAGATGCGCGAGCAGGCGCCGAGTGATCGTAGGGCATAACCCCGATGGACCCCAATCGTGGGAGGAGCACGGCCCGAGGGGGGAGCGAAGAATGAGCTCATCCACTTCCTCAGTTGGCTTGCCCTCCGCCCTACTTCGCCTGATGAGTGATGCCCACCTTTGTTTGTGTTGCCCCACTGTGATCATCATCAACATCATCATCATCATCATCATCAGCAGCAGCAGCAGCATCAGCATCATCATCATCATCATCATCATCATCATCACCATCAGCAGCATCATCATCATCAACAGCATCATCAGCAGCAGCAGCATCATCAGCAGCAGCATCATCCGTGTCAGCATCAGCATCAGCATCAGCATCAGCATCATCAGCAGCAGCAGCATCCTCATCATCCTCACCATCATAAGCATCAGCATCATCATCATCATCCTCCTCCTCCTCCTCATAATCATGATCCTCATCGTCATCATCAGCCGCATCAGCATCATCAGCAGCATCATCATCAGCTGCAGCATCATCATCAGTATCAGCATCAGCATCAGCATCAGCATCAGCATCAACATCATCAGCAGCAGCAGCAGCATCCTCATCATCCTCACCATCATCAGCATCAGCATCATCATCATCATCATCATCATCCTCCTCCTCCTCCTCATCATCATCATCATCATCATCAGCATCAGCATCATCATCATCATCCTCCTCCTCCTCCTTCTCCTCATCATCATCATCATCATCATCATCATCATCATCATCATCATCATCATCAGCAGCAGCATCATCATCATCATCATCATCATCATCATCATCATCATCATCATCATCATAATAATAATCATAATAATAACAATAATAATAATAATAATAATCGTCATCCTCATCGTCATCTTCAGCAGCATCACCATCACCATCCGCGACCGCCCTCCCCTCGCGCCAGTCACCGGATTTTTCTCTGCGGCTCCCGGGCATACGGCATCACGAAGTGTTCCGATGGCGACCGCGCGGCGCAGAGAAGGGCGCGTCACCTGGAGGGCCCGAGCAGGCCTGCATGCCTGTCGGGGGTGTCGCCCCTGCTCTCTCCGGCATATTCCAGCAACGTCCTGAGAGCAGCCCGTGGAAGAAGTGGAAGAATGATCAGAAGAAACATAAGAACAAGAAGAATAATACGAAGAAGAAGAACTAGAAGAAGAAGACGAAGAAGAAGATGACGAAGAAGAAGAAATATAATAAGAAGAACATAGAAGAAGAACAACAACAAGAAGAGGCAACCGACCATCTTGAGCATAAACTGGACCCGCCCTCCTCGGCGCGCGCAGCGCCGCGCTCGAGGGGGCCCAGCGCAGATCCAAGGAAAATCCGCGCGGGCCCTCGAGAGTGGATGCTCGTGCGGCTTCTTCTTATTCTTCTTCTTGTTACCAGAGGGTCGGCTATGCATCGAGTGCTGCCTCGCAGCTCCCGCGAACGCCGATGGAGCTAGTGTACAGAAACGCCGCAACGGTCGTGTAAATGAACGCGCAGATCGTGCATTAGTATCATGATTATTGTTATGATGTGTCTTCTTCTTTGTCGTATTATTAATATTACTATTATTATTAATAGTATTATTAGTATTATTATTAGTTTTCTTATTCTTATTAGTATTATTAGTATTCTTCTTATGCTTCGAATCCAGCGACCGTCGTATCTCCGCGGCGAGACGGGGGCGAAAGCGACAGGGGGCAGGCCTCATCCTCCTCCTCCTCCTCCTCCTCCTCCTCCCCCTCCTCCTCCTCCTCCTCCTCCTCCTCCTCCGCCTCCTCCTCCTCCCTCCTCCTCCTCCTCCTCCTCCCTCCTCCTCCTCCTCCTCCTGCTGCTCCTCCTCCGCATCCGCATCCGCATCCGCATCCTCCTCCTCCTCCTCCTCCTCCTCCTCCTCCTCCTCCTCCTCCTCCTCCTCCTCCTCCTCCTCCTCCTCCTCCTCCTCCTCCTCCTCTCATCAGGCCGCGGGGCTTCCCGAAGCCCTCACGCCTTCAGGGAGGCCGCCTGCGCCTTCGGAGCCGGCCCTGGCGGCTTCTCGGGCGAGGCCCGCCCCGTCTGGCCCGGCGTGGCCTCCTGGCCACACCTCGGGCCTCCGGCGGCCGTCCGGGACGGCCCGGGCATCCCCCGGCAGGCCCTCGGCGAGGCGCGGCTGCCGGAGCGCAGCCCGACGCCGGGAGGCCGCCGAGGAGCGGCGAGGCCGCCCGAAGGCCCTGGCCCTCGAGACCGTCGGACGCTGGGGGGAGAGGGAGGATGGGGAGGTCCTCCTCCTCCTCCTCCTCCTCCTCCTCCTCCCTCGTCCTCCTCCTCCTCCGCATCCGCATCGCATCCGCATCCGCATCCGCATCCTCCTCCTCCTCCTCCTCCTCGTCCTCCTCCTCCTGCTCCTCCTCCGCATCCGCATCCGCATCCGCATCCTCCTCCTCCTCCTCCTCCTCCTCCTCCTCCTCCTCCTCCTCCTCCTCTCCCCTCCTCCCCCTCCTCCTCCTCCTCCTCCTCCTCCTCCTCCTCCTCCTCCTCCTCCTCCTCCTCGTCCTCCTCCTCCGGCGAAATCGTCCGAAGGCCTGGGCCCTGGAGCCTGGAGACCCCTCGGCGTTCTCCCCCTGGGCTCGCCGCCGAGTGCCCCGCCGCCTCGTCAGCTGACCCCGTGGAACGGATGCACCGTGCCCGCCTCGAGTGAGATCGGGCATGTCCTCCTAGAGGCGGATTTTCTGAGAAACGATATATACAAAAGAGCCACAAGTACCCAGCACAGGTCAGAAAGACCCGAAAGATCGCCCCCATACTCCCAGACATCCGACGTCTCGATGTTTTCGAGACGCGGGCCCCCGACCTCCCGACCACTTCCCAGGGACCGGTGTTTCATCCCGAGTCGCTTCTTGACGGTCCCGAGGCCCAGCGAGGGCCCCAAGAGGCCGAAAAACTACGAAGAACCTCCGCCCTATTTGTTCGAGACGCCACATGTCTGTGCCACTTCGACTGACACACACATCACATATATCTATATCGATATACATATATATAAACAAGTGTATA